GAGGTGGAAGAGAATTCCAAGTGTTACAAACCCGGAGGCTGAAAGAATGACGCATGCAGTCTAGCCGGCTCTTTTAGAACAGAAGTTTAAACGGATGTCCTCGGAGGTGGTCATTCCTGAATAGTGTTAGTAGAGTACTACACAAGTGGTTAGGTTGATGTAGTATTTGATAAACGAAGATCATGTCTCCCCGTATTCGACAGTATTCAGACGAGTGGAGACCAGAGAATTCGNTCTTAGATTGTAACCCTTTGACCATCTTGGTTGCTGTTCTCTTCGAAATTTCGAGTGCCTTTTGATCGCGAATCAGCCATGGATTCCAAGCCTGTATAGCATACTCGGTGTGTAATCTAATGTATGCTGATAGTAAACAGGGCAATAGGTCTGTTTCGAATAATCCAAAAACACGTTTTAGTAATCCAACGTGTTTTATAACCTTTTAAGACGCTCTTGCGCAGTGTGTGGAACATCCTAGTTCCTTACAAATGATAAACCCCGGGTCCTTTTCGTTCGGAGAACGCGGCAATGGCTGAGTTCCAAGTAAGTATGGAAAGCGATCTCTGTGGCGCAGCGATACAACTTTGCATTTCTCAACGTTCAATTCGATGCCATTAATGATGGACCATCGATAAGCTGCGTCGAGAGTTTCCTTCAAGGTTTCATAATCTTCAGGATATTTTTCCGTCCTCCGTCATCATCAGCGTCATCAGCGAATAACAATGCCCTTTCTCCACGGGTTTCTGGTAGGTCGCTTATGAATGCTAAAAAAAGGTACGGACCAAGTACGGATCCTTGTGGAACTCCACGGCTAGCCTCAATCGGTCGTGACAAAGAACCATTCAGTTTCAGTTTTTACAACCATTAACCATGTACTTTCTTGCGCCGGTTTTGGTTGCCCATTTGGATAAAACAGCAGAATGAAGATTGGAATGTCGAAGCAAATTCAAGCGGAAGATGGGGAATACATATAGAGTGGTGTTAGCAAAAATAACAAAGAACCATGAACTCGAACCGATACGGTACTTTGTCGAAGAAATTTCTCAATCCTGTCCAGTGGCAGTCCTCGGACACCGTAATTATGGAGCTTTCGCGGCAATATATGGTGTTTGACTCAATCAAAAGCTTTGGAGAAGTCTAAGTAGACTACGTCTACTGTCTCTCCTGCGTCGACTGATCTTATTCATTCATCTAGTGCAAGTAGCAGGTTTTTGGCGTACGAGCGTTTCCTTCGAAACCCGTGTTGGGCCGGCGGAAGTATGTTATACTTCTCGAAATGATTCATCAGAGAATTAGCAACAATTGATTCCAATACTTTTGGCAGAGCCGGAAGAAGTGTAACTGGACGGCAGTTCGCAGGATTACTTCTGCAGCCACCTTTGTAAATAGATGAAATGATACCGTGTTTCTAGGATTGAGGGATCTTCGTCTTGTTGAACATTCTTTGTATAAATGGGCAATTATTTCAGATACGTAATTTGCCAGGGAAGTCAGGTTCTTTGGCCGGATTTTGTCTTCCCCTGAATATGAATTCCGGCACAGCGCCAGTAGTTTGTTTTTAACCGTTTCAGATTTGAACGTGACGATGGTCAGTTTAGGGTATGGGACACTTGATAGGTGTAGAAGCTGTAATCCACCTTTGTTACCTGCAGTGAACACTTTATTGAACTGAACTTTTAGGAATTCGGCTGCTTCAGCAGTAGTAGTGGAAACGCGTTTTGCATGCCTTAGTGCCGGTATTCCATATTTCACTTTTCTGGTAGCATTGATCTGCTTATACAGTAGCTTTGGACTGAAAATAAATTTGTGCCAGAGTTTCTTGAAACCTCCGTTTATCCTCTCGCACTATTTTGACACAAAGGTTTCTCAACATGATATAGGTATTCCAAGTGTCGGCGATCAAACATCTTCTGAACTCTCGCCGGGCGAAATTCCTTTGTGACATCCATTTCTTGGTTCGACTACAGATAAGTGATAATCGTGTGGACGACGTACTGACAGACTTGGTTTTTGTGGCGACCGTGTTAAGTTCTGTTAGTGTTTCAGTGAATCTTTTCCAGGACTCCAGTGGATCTAGCTGCTCTTCTGGTCGTGTTCATTGTTTGACAGTAGCAAGATTCAGCAATTCACTGTAGTCAATAACAGTGCGTGTCGGTTTTAAAGCCTATTTCCATTGAACTCACTCCAGATACGAGCTCTTTCCTGTGCGTGCTTCCACATACAGAATCGGTGTAAAATTTTGCTCGGATATGACCTAATCAATAGTCTCCCACTTAGGGGAAAGACTTCCTCGTTGAATTGATTTCTTTTACTACATCGTGGAATTTATTCTGGTTGGTTGCCTTTTTATATTTACTGTAAAGGTTTGTAAATTGCTGAAGATTCACCCTTTGGTTGTATGAAGCACCTCTTGGTTTGACTTGTCTTTGTCCGATTAGTTTATACTGAGAGTTTGCGGTTGTATAACAGTTTTGTTAGAACTTCAGTTAATTCATTAAGATGTATCGTGTAGCGTGAAAGATTCAAACAGCGCAACTGATTATCCTAATTCCAAACCAACCAAGAAGAGGCGCACGAACCACATACCTTCCCAGTTGTGATAGTGGTCACAGACTCGATTGGGCGTCGAGGTGTATTGGGCACCTTCGATGTTTGATCCGCGTCCGAAGGGCGTATGATCCGATGAACTGGACACCGGTCCCCAATGGATTGCGGTTTTCGCACAGCGTCCCGTTGCCTTGCGGGTCAGGCTTTGGCTAACCGAAGGCTCTGATTGTGGATTCCTCAAGAACATTTACTTGCCTTGGCTTGTGTAACCTTGCAGTATTCAGCCGACATGCAAACGACGGAACGTTTTTCTTTTTTTATAAAGATTACTGTACCATGATTTGCTTGGCACACAGTCTGGCGTCAGACGTTTGTGATATATATATATATATATATATATATATATATATATATATATATATATATATATATATATATATANTTACTTGCCTTGGCTTGTGTAACCTTGCAGTATTCAGCCGACATGCAAACGACGGAACGTTTTTCTTTTTTTATAAAGATTACTGTATCATGATTTGCTTTGCACACAGTCTGACATCGGACGTGTGCGAAATAATAATAATAACTACCGACTTTCATGAACTCGGGGAGTCTTGAATGAATTCCATCAGACCAGGTGGAACATCTCCGCTGCTGATCACATCAAGGTGTGTAGTTCAAAAAGTGTGGTTGACTTCAAATTTCTGATAGTGCTGTTTTTATAAGCATTTGCTTCATTCGAACGAGTATCATGCTATCAGATGATTGAACGCGTTTGCAGCACTATCGAATGTAAAGAACTTGATTTCTGTGTACCCTTTTAGGACAATTTTGATTACCAGACAATGGGTGATCTCATTCACGATGTTCTAACAAACGAAGAGGTTATGGGTTACACCATGCATGTGGATCGTGTACCCCCTGGACCGTTGATGCTTTGCGCCGCACCGGATTTGCACACCTTCCTCTCTTTCTTTCCGCACATTCTGACTCGGGAATCAGGTATTCTCGTTGCTCTGACAGATTCAAAATTACCGACCGATTGGGACTCGTGGATTGCCTACGGTCCACAGATCTACGTCGCCCGTTCCGCGCGAATCGACCCAACCGTGCGGTTAATCGGGTCCTGTTTGATCGGTGCATCTTGTTGCATTGAAGCCGGTGCGGTCCTCGTTGATTCGGTTCTCGGTGCCGACTGTCACGTG